ATTTTGCATAGTCGCAACCAACACCTGATTTTACCAACATATTTACATACAACAAATGGTCAAACAACCAATTCTAACAGCCAGACAAACAAGCCAAGTTAAACAGCCAACATCCAATTGCCAAACAAGGCCATAAACTAAAATTACACTTCTTGTTTAGATGGCTGGAGAGATTCATTAATGTACCACGTGACCTTTCCTCTTCATACCTGCATGAAAATTAGATTTATGATAAGATAGACATGGTTAGGGTGCAAACTCTTGCTTCGTTTCCGATTCCTTTATCTGGAAGAAGATGGCTTTTCTCGGTTAACAAAAGCCCCCTTACCCTCAATAGAGGTAAATTCGTACAATTAGAACCTTTTAAAGTATCCACTTTCATGGAGACTCCACTATCCTTTTTATAAAACTTGAAATATATGTGACATTTAATATTGTTTTCCACTATTTTATTTTTCTTATATTCCTATTCTAAGTTTTTTCGCTTGGATTTTTTTGGAAATCTTAGGCCTTTTGCCTCTATCCAAAGAAAAGAGAGAGAGAAATGCTAGCGATAACCTTGCCCTTGGTCGGTGGTGTTTTATTGAAGGAGGGAGTGTTAGAGTGAGATAGAGGGGTGAAAAACATGGAAATATCAAGTTAAAATGTGGGCGATACTTGGTAAAATGCATGTGTTGTTTAGCTTTTCACTATAATAAAACGAGGATATACAAATTTATAACCTTAATAAATCAGGGGGTATAAGTACTCTTAGGTGATAATTTAGAGGTGTTTATGTATTTTCTACTCGACGTCGTTTTTCTATGAAGACAATGTTTGCAAAAGGCTCTTCCTCCTTTTCTCACTCTTCCAAGAAACTTTGCTTTAAAACCATCTTGAATTGGGGAGTACTTATTCAAATGATTGTACAGTGTATTCATTATCACATTCAATTGAAGCTGGTTATTAAAAATAATGGAAGTTCGATTTCAATGGAGATCAAAATTAACGCGGGAGAAAAAGTTACAATGGAGAAACCAACGGAGAAGAGGAAAAGCTCACTTACCCTTTGAGGTTAATCATGTCCTTAATTTCTTTGTTTTTCTTCTTTGTCGCCGAAAATAGCTGTGTTGATTTCAGTGAATTCTCCATTGAAATGGTTGGAAGAAGGAGATAAAGGTGGGTAGGGACGGAGGAAGAAGAAGATAAATGTAGGTGGGAGGAAGGAGGAGAACATGATGGAGGAAGAAGATGAACATTACAAAATGGGAAGGATGATGAACATGATGGAGGAAGAAGATGAACATTACAAAGTGCGAAGGACGAAGGACGAAGAAGAAAAAGAATAGGCCAAGAAAACGAATGTTTACTACAAACCATCAATCCCACATGGCAAATATTGTACATATCTTGTTTTAAATTCAGCATCACAATTTTCAAGACTAAATAACTACAAAAACCCACTTTATCAAGGTTATAAACTTGTCAAAAAAAAAAATGGGTTATAAACTTGGCGAACCTCAAACAAAACTAGTGGTCAGATTTATTTATAATAAAAGTCACTATTAACAAATATTAAATGGAAAAATTGATTCTAATATTCCCACCTTTTATCGGTTTGCAATTAATAATCCCACCTATAGATTATTATTTAATAATCCCATCTTTAGGGGTTATCTTCTTCTAATAGTCCCTAACTTGTTAGTAACATGTATAGTGGGTAAACATGCCACGTGTCACTTTATGATTCGTCCAAAATATATTTTTTCCGTTTTCCTTTTTCCTTCCCCCCTTCCCCTCCATTGATTCCGGCCACTCAAATCAACCACCTCCCACACGCAGCCACCTCATTTCTAAAACAGGAACCGTCATCCACGACCGACCACCCCCACCATGGACCAACCATCCCCATCCACGAAAAACCCCAACCACGGCTGGCCATTCCCACCCACAAACTAGCCGCCCCACCCACGAAAAACCCCCACCCAAGGTCGACCACCCCCAGCCACACCCTACCAGTCTACCACAGTCGACAACCCAAGGCACGAAACCCCTACCCTCGAAACCCTCACCTGAAAAAACTTGTCCTTTCCCCTCCCACGAAACACCCAACCTTATGCATTCCACATTCTCCCTATTGCTGCTACTGTTATCTAGCGATAGGAAGAGAGAGAAAGTGAGGTGGTAATTTGGGAAAGTCATGGAAGGGAAAAGGAAAGGGAGGAGAGAGAATGGGCTGACTTGGGAGGATGAGGGAGAATATAGGAAAGAAAGAAAAAAAAACTTACCCATTCTTCAAGTAACTGGTCATAAGAGACCAATAAGAGAAGATGCCCCCAAAGGTGGGATTATTAAATAATAATCGATAAGTGGAATTATTAATAGCGAATCGGTCAAAGGTGGAATTACTAGAATCAATTTTTCCTTCCATATATATAAAATTACCAAGAAAAAAAAAGAAAAGAAAAGAAAAAGAAAAAAGGTCAATGGTCAATTATCTTTTTTTTTTCCTCACATGTCACTGTGTGTTTTACCCCTATCTCCATTAATCTATCTCCACTAATTGTAGACATTATATTGTAGTTAAACTTTCAAAGCATAAAAAGAATACTCGGTACTAAAGAAAATAAAGTCCATGGATAGTTGGATACGAGTCTATAAAATTTGTTCAAACATCTAGGCCCTGTTCTTTCACTACAAAAATAAAGCTTTTTAGCAACTAAGTTTGGCAACAAATTTTTAAAATGTTGCTAAATAGCAACAAATCTAAAATTTTTCATTGCCTAATTAAAAGCGACATTTTATGCTTTAGTTTTTAATAAACAATGGCTACATATTTTTGATTTGTTGCTTTTTAAAACAAATTGTCTTACTAGTTGTTACTAGACGACATCATATTTTTCTCTTGTTGCCAAATAGTAACAAACTATGACAACAAATATTTTATTTGTATTGATTTAGAAACAAACAAATACAATGAATTTTTGAATTGTTTCCATTAGAAACAAGTCTTTTAAATTATTGTTGCTAATTGATAACGCATTATTTTGTTTGTTGCCATTGGAAACGAGTTGTGTTTCTTATTGTTGTTAATTTATATGTAAGCCACTTTCTTCTGTAATGTATAAAATTATTTGTTGCTAAAATAACATCAAATAGAGACGGATTTCAATTTCGTCTCTAATTTAGAGACGGATTTTTTATTTTGTCCCTAATTTGGAGATAAAATTTTCAATTTCGTCTCTATTATTTTGTTCACTTATTATAAATTATATGCATAGAAGTAAACAAATAGTGTTTGGTATAGTTGGTAAGAGATTCACCATCTGACTTTGAGGTCGCAAGTTCGACTCCTACCAAATGCGATTCTTGAGACTGAGGATTCAAAAAGCCTTACATGCAAAGTCGAGCCGAGTTGACCTAACCTGAGTGAGATTTCAGATTGGTAAAGGCCGAGATTGGGTTGAATCGATTTGCTAATATGGATTGGGTTTTTGTCTCGTAGTGTTGATAGCAACCAATATTAATGATTTGTAGCTATTTTTATGAAGCAACTTTAATAATTTGTTGCTATTTTTAGGAACCAACATTAATAATTTGTTGCTATTTTAGGAACTAACATTAATGATTTGTTGCTAATTTTAGCAACAACCAATGGTAATCTGTTGCCAAAGTTGGCAACGAATGCACCAAAAACAACAACAATCATGGCCAAACTCTTCCATATGGCCGGCCACCTAGAGGCAGAAGGCCCATCATGGCCTCTTCCTCTAATGCTCAATCTAGGTCTTTTGTGTGACTTTATAGGATCCGTTCAAATTGGGCTTTAGGCTATTTTACTAGCCCAAAGATCATAAGTACCTCTAGCTATGATAATACGACGACCCAAAAGAACGAACTTAATTATCTCCATAATTTGATCCAATATATATCTAGTAATTGCACACGACGAAGACATCAATCCTTCACTAAGAAGACGTTTAATTCATAGAATGATATGGGTTTGGAATTAGGAATGGGGTTAAGGTGATATCGGGTTGGAGTTTGATACTTAATATCATGTGTATGGTTTTATTTTGGAATGTAATCTTATCCCCTCAATACCATGTATTTGATACCCAAGGGAATGAGCCAAACCCACCCCCAAGAACTCTAAACCCCATACCTCATGGATTTGACGGGGCATTTGGCATGTGGGGATGAGAATTTGGAAAATATAAAGTGGAAGTGGGAATGGGAATTGGTAAGTGGGAGTTTGTCAAATATTCCCAATCTCGTTTGGCATATAACTTGGAATAAAATTAGGATTAAAGGCTGAAATTACAATTTTATCTTTATTGTTTTAAATCTCAAAGACTCAAATTTGACATGCATTATTAAGTTGAGGGCAATTATGTCTTTTACATAGCTAGAGAACTCCCACCATTTTATTACCTACCCCTCCTTAGGTAATAAAATGGTGGGAATATAGGGTAAATATTCCCAAGCTTATTCCCACTCCCTAAACTAATTCCCATCAAATAAACATGGGATTATGGAGACTTGGGATTAATAATCCTATTCCCACCTCATAAATTCATAATCCCATATTCCAAACACCCCATGAGGTATGGGTTTTAAATTCATACCTTTGACAACCAAACATATGATATGAGTTTTGTCATTTTAAACCCATACCTCAAACCTATATTCAGCGAACCAAACACCCCTTAAAAGTCTCTCAAATATTTGTAAGAACAAACAAAAGTTTTTAAAAAAGTACTTAATGATTTATGTAGCTCTTATGGTTATATAAGGCGTGTTAAATAATTTTCCAAAAATAAAATTAAGTTGAGAATTCACGATAAAATTACGTACAGATCAATATAATTAATGCTAATCTATTCTTAATTACGTATTAATTTCTTTACCTCGATAATGAGAAAAGGGCCGGATCAAGCCATATTACTAGATTAGTCAAGTGGCACAACTACTGAACCGATAAGCCCTGAGATTCATCGGGCACATTTTATATACTCTCAACGTTAACATTTCATCACACATTTTCACACACTCCCAAATTCCACTTTCTTCTGTATTTTGTGGCTGAAAACTCGACTACATTCATACGAGAGAGAACTTCACTTGAGCTTTACCAGTGACCAACAATGGCGGCTACCAGAGTTATCACTGCAGCAACCAATTCCACTTCTTCGTTACTCCTGAAACGGCCAATTTCCTCTCAATTTCTCAAGAAATCTCCTCATTTTCTCTCTCTTTCCTTCAATCCTACTCTCTCCAAACGCCTTTTCACTTGTCGCGCTGTTTATCAACCTCAAGATGTTGTTTCTAAGGAACAAGGAGAGCCTGAAACCCTAGATTATCGTGTTTTCTTCCTTGATAATTCTGGCAAAAAGGTTGTTTTCTCATTTGTTTTTATATTAGTGATTTATTGTTGGAATTTGGGTTATGAAATGCAGATGATTTGATTTCCGCAATGTTCGTAATATTTTCAATTGTTTTATGTGATTGTGTGTTTGGTTTTGAATGGCTTTTTTTTTTTTTTTTTAGTTTTGATTGTCTTGTGAATTGTTGAATTTTTATTGTGGTTTATGATTCGAATTTGGATTATGAAATGTGATTCATTAGGTTGAATAATGTTCGTAATTTTGTCATTTTTTGTAAAATTTGCAAATGTTTAGGGAGTATATAATGTATTGTGTCATTTTTGTGTTTGGTTTTGAATTGTTTTTAAAATGATTGATTGTGATTCGATATGATTAATCTTGTTGATTGTGTTGTATTGTTGAATGTTTACGGGATAATTCAAATTGATGTTTTGAAGCTATGATAGGAGGCATTTATGTCAGTTTTAGAGCTGACTGTGCTAAATTGGTTAGTGTTTAAGAACTTAGATTAAAGTTTTAGACCTTGAATGATGGATAACATAAAGTGTGTTTTCGCATTGAGGAATTCAGAAATATCACATTGTAGAACAGGTTAAACGATTTGACATTCACTTGAATAAGCAGATTCCTGTTGTTTATGTAAAATATGCTAGACAAACTCGTATTTTGTTTATTACAATGCTTGGAAGATACGATTTCGACAATTTTTATATGATACAGAACAAAATGTTTTCCTTGATTGAGCTCATAATCTAGGTCCTTCCAAGTATATGTTAGAACTTCTACACTATTTGTTATACGATACAGGTCAATTTGTTTCCCTTGGGTGAGCTCAATATCTAGGTGCATTTGAGTGTATATGACTAATGTGAGAACATGTACACTTTAAGCTTTCCTCTGCTGCCCTGTATCTTCTCTTTTCTGAGTTCCATATGTTCATGGTCCCTTTTCGAATCTCTATCCTTCGTTATTATTCCTTCCTACTCAGTTCTTATCTGCATTATTCGTCACTTGAATATTCGTTTTTCTTACCACAATTTGATTGTCTCATTGAACTTATTGTGAGAAACCGAGAACTTTTTTGACTCTTTGATATTTGTGTTGAGGCACTCCTTCACACGTATGAAACATCAAAGAAGACAATGAATATGATATAGATGGAGTATTCTTTTCTCCATTTTAGTCTATGTTTATTTGTTTTTGAGAAATAATAATACTTGTTTTATTTTACTGTCATTTACATAAATGAAAGAGTGTGTCTTGTTGCATGAGCTTATATGTTGGTATCGAGTTTTATGTTTACTTACTGTTTTGTTTTGTTTTGTTTTTTTTTTGTTTTTTTTTTTTTTTTATTTTTTATGTTTTTCTCCTCCATTGTTATTATGAAAGATAAAAGTTTATGCTCTCTGCTTGAAGAAAATTACCTGTGTTTTTTTAATGACACATGTATTCATTAACATTTTTTTTTTCTTATTGATAGATTTCCCCTTGGCATGATATCCCCTTGCATTTGGGAGATGGTGCTTTTAATTTTGTGGTTGAAATACCAAAAGAATCAAGTGCCAAGATGGAGGTTGCCACTGATGAGCTTTACACTCCCATCAAACAAGATACCAAGAAGGGAAAACTTCGATATTACCCGTAAGACATCCCTTAGACTGTTGATTGTGAATCTTTGGAGCTATTATTAACTAATATTTTTCTATTGGTGCTTGCCTCATGTTTCTCTCATTTGTTATCTACGCTGTTTGTATGCCAATTTGAATGGTGAATTTATTGTTGTTTCTCATGAAGAAATGAAAGGCCAAGGGTTGGTACAAACAAGGAAAGCAAAAAATTGGTTAAGGCTTATTGTCTATTTGTGAAAAAGCCATGCTTGGTACCTTGCATATCCATATGTAAAACTATTTGAAAACCCATTAACTTTAGAATCTGATCAAATTATGGCAATCTATTTTACAAACAGTTTCCAAAAGACCACCCTGTGTTGAATATCATAGTTTTGGTTTGGATATGAATACTTTGGAAATCTTGTGTACACAACCCTGATCCAAAATTCAAAATATGTGATGGTTAAATTTCTTAGTATCCTGATCCCTGGGTTGAGCCCCTATGTTGGAAAGTTTTCTTCCATTTTGTTTTGTATTTTTAGGTTTTCAGCATTAAAAAAGGTAGCTCACAACTCAGTGAACATAATCCTAGTTTAATTTAGATAACAGCCTTATATGTCCTCTTCTCTCCAAAACTTCATTTGGCATTATCTCTTGTAGTCTTGCTGCAAGAGAAGCCCACCTCGACTCTTTTTGACTCTTTATGCTCTCTGAATCTCTTACTCTGAATTATTTGTTTTTGAGGTTTGGGAAGCATGCAATCCAAATGTGCCAATCCAAAAGCCCTTGCCTTTTCTCTCCCACCAACTTTATTATCACTCTTTGTCTTCTAAAATGCAAGGCTTGCTCTAACGTTACCGCTTGTAGTGTCATGTTATTTTAGAAGCACAAGGCCCATTGAGGTGCAAAGGATAACCAAATACTGGGTGCAAGGCGTGATAAAAACCTTAGAAATCATTTCTTAAACATAAAAGACTTAAGTCAATCAGAAAAGTAAGTAGCTAAAGAAAAGAATAGTAGTTCTTCAACCTTGTTAGGTAGCCTCATAAGCACTAGATATCTATATATCATCATACCCATCCTCATCTCCTAGATAATCTTTATTGCCATCTTTGCCTATGTCCTCTTCCTTCTCATCATCATCATTCCAGGAGCCCCCTAAAACAGAATTGGAAAAAAAAAATAGGAGAAGACGAAAGAACTGAAAAAAGTTGGAAATCATATGGGAAAAGGGATAAGACAGGTGAAGAAGAAAGAACTGAAAAAAAGGGCAAAGAAAATAGACAGGATAAGAAAAAAAAAAAATTGAAAAAAAGAACTGGAAATGAAGGGATAAGTAAGAAGACATAAGAATCTTGGCGGCAATCAGCCTCGACTTTTGAGAAGTTGAACTTGAAAGGTCACATGTGTCAATAATATGCCTTTTTTTTCAAAGAACTTTTCCTGGCTTGCAAAACTGCCAGACAAGCCAAACCCCAAAAATGTGGGGCTTTCTTAGCACCTCTACAGAAGTGCACAGTAGTGCATGATTTTCCACACCTCTACTAATTTGCTGAACTCACTCCCTAAAGCAATTTTTAAATCTAGGGTGTCATCGTGGTCACACTTTGTATTATGATCCCAAAGTCTAAGAGTGGCTGCAGTCTTTGCTGGTGATCCAGTCTCTCACTTCAAATGCCATCAACATTTTGTAACAGATTTTGAAATTGCATCTTACTTTCCCATGTCTCCTTTAAGCCCTTTCTGCTCTATTTCTAATATCATCAAGAAATGTATGTAATGTATCAGAATGACCTTGTTAACTACTGTCTAGAGAGAGGATTTTAATTCTTCTTCAGACATTGGGCTTAGTGTTCTGCTTTTAGATGACCATTGAAATTGGAGAGTTAGGTTATGTTTCATTAACACTAGCTATAAAAAGATCAACTTGACAAGATTGTTTTAAGGACCTCTGAAAAATAAAAGCACTTGAAGCAACTTGGGCTGGATTGGGTGTTAGGATAGGAGGTGCCTGAACTTTCAGACACCCAAAAGTTTGGGTACCTGATTTATTTTGGTTTGGTTACATATGGCAATTTTTTTTGTGGATTTTTAATATCTGATATTCAGATGGTGTACCCCATGGCAATTTTTTTTTGTGGATTTTTAATATCTGATATTCAGATGGTGTACCCTACCTCCCTACCTACCCTTGCAACAGCCCTTTAACCGACTCTGGTCATAGTAATACAACTAAAACAATGAGCCTTATCTTGATCCTTCATGTGTGAGGGCGAATTGTCAAATCGATAACTTTATTTAAATTTCTTGTTTTTTGAGAACTGCTTAGTTTTAAGCTTCCTAATCTTTTTGTGGGTAATTGTGTGTTGATTAAATTCTGTTTTTGTCTTTGCCTTCCCAGGTACAATATTAATTGGAATTATGGCCTATTGCCACAAACATGGGAAGACCCAACACTTGCTAACTCTGAAGTTGAAGGTGCTTTTGGAGACAATGATCCAGGTAAGTCTCCTAGGTGCTTGAGTTCATATATGATATGAGAACTTTTTAGTTTGTTTCCAATTTCCTTTCTCTATATACTTTCAGTTGATGTCGTTGAAATCGGTGAAAAGCAGCGGAAGATCGGAGAGATTTTGAAAGTCAAACCTTTAGGTGCTTTGGCTATGATTGATGAGGGTGAACTTGACTGGAAAATCATTGCAATTGCGCTAGATGATCCCAAAGCTTCCCTCGTGAATGATGTTGAGGATGTGGAGAAACATTTCCCTGTATGTGATGTTTTGTTTTTCAGTTCTTTAAGTCCATCTTCTTGAATTTGATGTATTAGTTAATTTTTTTTCAACTTGTTTGATATAGCTCTAGATGATATTATGAACTTAATACTGAATTGGTGGAACCGTAGAAGTATGTTGCTGTCTTCATTCATTTTGTAGCCTAAATGAAATTTACTGTTTCTAATTTTTTATCCTCTGATTTATATCATTAATCATGCACAATATTTTATTAGTTTAAAGGTGATTTTAGACTGATGAAATTCTTGCATTAGATGTCTTGCAAATTATAGAATTTATTGGGCTTGTAGTGACTTTTTAATAGCAAAAAGTTATATATCTATATAATTCAATGACAAAATTTGATGCAATATAGAACTTCATAAACTCAATATTTTGAATTGGCTTGATGGTATTGATTAAATGTGCAGTATGCTGTACTGAGTGATGATTATAGTTGGTACAGAACATTTATGAATTTTGAAAAAATTGATTTCTTGTACCCATTGTAGTGGATATAGACCATATAGTCCTTGGGCTCTTAGCTGTGCTAAATGGTGATTGTAGGAAGTAAATATTGCTTTGATGCTAGACAGCTAGAGATGAGTATATTTTAGGATATGCCTAGTGATACTTAACTAAATGACAGTAGCTTTTAGGTGTAACAAACCATCTACCTAGTTCACTTAGTTTTTAAGTAATCCTTTCCCCATTATATGATTGTGTTGGGGATCTTGTTGTGGTGGCCTTGATGGCTTGATAGTTAATGGACTTTTGGTATTACCGAGTTAATGAAACATTGTTTATTTCAAGTTTTCAATTTTATCATGTAAGGTATCAGTGATGAAATTACTTATCCCGTAGTCCATGATTGAGTCTAACCCAAAGATCTTCTACAGGGAACTCTAACGGCAATCAGGGACTGGTTTAGAGATTACAAGATTCCAGATGGAAAGCCAGCTAACAAGTTTGGTCTTGGAAACAAGGCAGCTAACAAGGTACTTTCTTTTCCTATGTCTGCAAGAAAAGAGCCTTGTGTTAAAGAATGTAAATAGACTTTGTTGTTAATATATATGAACAATCGTTTCTATATCTGTGTCCTAGTTAATTAATTTAAAGAGTTTAAAGATTGTTTAATCTTGGAGTATTTGTGAAATCAATAGAATAATGAGTCTTAATTGGCAAATGGGTTATTCGGGTTGGGTCAATTTCGGGTCGGATCAATTCGGGTTTTGGGTCATATTCAGGTCAGCAATTCGGGGTGTGTCCGTTCAGGTTGGGTCAGTTTGGGTTGGGCTAGTTTTTAGGACCAATTTTTGGGTCAATTTCGGGTCGAGTCAATTTGGGTCAGGTCAATTCGGATCAAGTTAGTTCGGGTTGGGTCAAGTTTGTGTCGGGTCACCAAAATAAATTCACTTAAAAAAATAGTTGAAAAAATAAAGTAAAATCGTTAAAAAAATCGTGAGTACCTATTATTTAATATTAAGGAAAGAAAGAAACCCTAAACTAAGTAATTCACCATTTCACCCTATTTACTTTAGGAATCGGATCACTTCGGGTTGGGTCGATTTGGGTTAGAATCAGGTTGGGTCACTTTTGGGTTTCGGGTCGGGTCATTCGAGTCTGGTCACTTCGGGTCATTTCCGGGTCGACTCTATTTCGGGTTGGGTTCGGGTTCAGGTTTCGGGTCACGGATCGGGTCAATTGGGACGGGTCAATCGAGTCGGCCAAGATTGCCAAGTCTAGCGATTAGCGGTTACATTGACGTTGAAGGGTATCATTTGTCTACACCCCTAGTAAACTCTGAAAAGCTTGTCTTGTCATAGTGCCTCTTGTTTTCCCTTTATATTCCTCTTCTGTCTTCTCATATAGTTCATATTTCTTATTGTTTTCAAACAATAAGTCAAATGCTCATTGACTATTTGAAAGAATTTTCATTTTCTATATTTTATCAAATATAAAATTATTGTTTCTTTGGTGTGTGTTATTGATTTCCTGCTCATTGCTTATTGAACAAATTTGGACTCCACATTCATTTTTCATTTTTTCTTTATGAAAGGTTTAGGTTGTTAGTGGGATTCATACCGATTGGTTACAGTAAAGAATTCAGGGGTCCCATTGATTAGCTAGGAAAATATAGACTTTTTAGCAGCTATTGCTAGTAGAGCCTAGTATTATCTTATAACTTGAGGTCTCATCAAAATTTGATCTTCATGCAAGCTAAGACTGCATGAGCTATGCAAACGCATGTTGTGAGTTGTCCATACTAGGAAAGAATATTCACCAACTTATAAGCTTGAGCCCTGTGGACTTAATCTTCCAATTGCCAAATGACCCCTCTTGGCCTCATAAGTGGTCCAAACTTCCTAGTGCCATAAGGAAATCTGGATCATTTTCATGAGGATCTTAATTAATTTTATGATTGTTCTGAATTTTATTGTGAGAACACATCATTATTATTTTCTGTTAGATGCAAGGTTCAATTGAAGTGTCCAGGTAACTGGAATTTAAGATAAAGTCTAAGGCTCTGTTCTCTTCACCTTAAAAAAATAATTTTAAGTAAAAATAATTTCAGTTTAGTAAAAATAAGTTCAGTTCAGTAAAATTAATTTCAGTTCAGTAAAAATAAGTTCAGTTCAGTAAAATTCAATTTTCTTAAAGAAGAATTATAATAGAAAATCAGTACAAATAATTTCAGTTCAGTAAAAATAATTTCAGTTCAGTAAAATTAAGTTCAGTTCAGTAAAAATAAGTTTAGTTCAGTAAAAATAATTTCAGTTCAGCAAAATTAAGGTGAATCAAACAGGGCCTAAAAGGATTCTAGGGCAACCATTAGTTGTATTACTAGTTTAAATTATCTTGACCATGTATCAGATTTTGACTGTGTTGCTTAATATGCAGGATTACGCCCTCAAGGTCATCACTGAGACTAATGAATCTTGGGCTAAACTTGTCAAGCGTAATATTGCTGCTGGGGAGCTTTCTCTGGTTTGAGACTGTCGTACTCGTGAAGTTGCATTTTTTGCTTGTACTCTATAGAGTGTTAAGCTCTGCCTGGGTCCTTGCTGCTATTAACTTGAAACAAAATTAAGATTTTTGTGGGGTTGAAATTTTTATTTCCTTGTATGCTTCTCTGAGTTCTCTTCTCTCTCAACGAAATTGAATTTGTTCATGTATTCTATCCTGAATAATTGAAAGCGAAATGGAAATAAAGTTTCAGTTAATTAATCTTGTGAAGAAGTGCAATTGTTCGCTTGAATGTGTGATTCATACTTGTGATCGACCCTCCAACTTACAAGCTAACTAGCTATGTACACTCCCAGCACTCCTATACTTCTATACAAGCTGCTAGTCTGCTAGACAACCAGTAAACAGGACACGAAACACATACTCCCCATTTACAATCTGCCCTACTCCATTCTTGAGGGATCAATTGCTGAGCTCGGCCACACATTTCCACTCCTATAGTGTGCACCAAAACAGCAGGACGAATAACATTCTTCATTCAGAAATCATGATTTCTGGCCATCCAAATGTGGTAAGTGATAGCAGCAAGGACGTCTAACGCAAATCTCTGTTGCACCTCACTCTTCATGCATCGATCTTCTCCATCTTTTCCAGGTATTAGCATTACTGAACTGTTGACCATGAATCCCCAGCAGGCACCAGTGTCCTGCACACAATGCTTGCTGTATCTGCACTCGTAAAATAAATGCATATTCGATTCTTTCTCATCCCCACACAATAAGCAAGTATCAGTTTCACAAACTCCATACATAACTGCACAGTTTATCTCTAGTTTTCAACCTCTAATGCATAGCTAATCAAGTGATCAGGTTGTTTTAACTGTTCTTAGGCAGAATTTATCTCATAGTTTTCCACATCAGTATTTGGTATGTGAACTGTTTTTATCCCAGCAATGAAAGAAACAAAAAGCTATTTTACCCGAGTGATGCTGTTAAACACGGGTCTGGGCCGCACCCGTCACTGGAGGGTGTAAGTCCACCACTTTACAAGACCAAGGAGGTTCCACCTCAAAACCATATGGCAATGAGGGGAGCAACCCCTTAGCCTTATATTGTGGTGGCAACTCTTGAATTCTTTCAATGTGGGATTTTATTACCACTACACTCCCCCTTTAGTGTTTATTGTTTTTTAGTGTGGGACAAGAGAACGCTCACTTGTTCATGGGCTTAACAGATGCCCATTAATTCCTTGATTGAAATCCTTATTTATATTTTATTTTGGTAGAATGACGGGTAATATGATGATAGCTTATTGGCTTACACTTGAGTTTTTAAATTAAAGTTTGTGTGTTCAAAACTTGTACAATCTATATTAATAATCACGTGAAATGAAAGACTCGATTAATTAAGGAGACGCCACGTGACGTCTTTAATAGATAGTATAGCTTTTTTACCAATCTCTCACCTACTTTTTTTTTTCCTAGACTCATATTTGTATCAAATTATACAAAAACATAATCACAAATTTTCCAAAAAGGCGGATGTACGTGAATTTATTGTAAGATATGTTAAAATTATTTAAAAGTATTTAAAGTTACCTTGTATACAACAAAAGTTATTATTTTCCTAAAGATAAATTTTATTTTACAAAAAAATTATAATGTATTTGATTTATCATACTAGCCTTTATTGTATGTAATCATGAATATATAAGAAATTACACATTAAAATAAAATTCAAACTAACGGCAAATAAAAAGTTCCCCTTTAAAACTAGTTGAAATGTCCCTAAAACTGACCGTTTTACAATAAAATTAACGTACACCCGCCTCACACAAGACTTATTGAAACATATTATACTAAGAAAAATTCACTTTAATAATCTCAATTTTGGGTGATTACTCTAAATAATCTCGCGACTCAATTCTTCAGCAGTACAAAGTCAAATGTCCAAAATGCATGGATTATTCTCTATTAATACCACCTTTGACGTTAGTTTGCCTCTTTTACATTGAACAATCATGACATCAAAATACATGCAATAAGGATGTGTTGCAAGTAAATAAAAACCGAGGAAGTATAAAATAAGTAAATTATATAACCTATAGCCATTTGTTTTGAAATCTATTTAAGCAAGTCCCTATCTTTATATGTATCAACCTCATAAGCATATTTTTTAGCTTGTAGTTTGAAAATTTGACAAAGTCACAAGTCACAATTAACAATTTAGGTATAACCGTATAATCAACGCACACACCAAGACACCAAACATACCTGATAATTATTCTCTAGAGCTCTTGCGGTGGTCGTTGAGGACCGAAAGCCCGAGCGGTTTAACCCGCTCTTCCGTTCTACTCCAACACACACATTTGCGAAATTAATATAACGATAAACTAAAATTAAAAAAACCTCTTTACGAAAAAAGTTCATTTTGTGACATGTCTCAAGTCTAACGATCCTCCAAAACTTTGTAATATATATTTAATCTCACGTCTTAAGTATATCGTAATTCTTTTTATATATGTCAACCAGACAAGTATTTTCTTATAATGCCTATTTTACCGAATTGCCAACCACTATAGAATCGCGAATTCGCGACCAACGTTGGGAGATAAGACCATACTCAACATAAGGAGCACTACAATCTACCGCACGGCCCATCCTACACGGGCTACATCGTAAGCTCTTAAAGTAGTTTAGGGCAATCTTGTCTTCAATTTTCTCTCTCTTCTCCGACTTCTCTTTGATCCTTTCTTTCACTTCTCTGACACCTAGTTTTCTGTAAGTATCGCTTTCGCTTCATTTTCAGTGCAGATTTTCTATTTCTTTTATTTCCTTTAATTGCTAAAATTCTTATTTTTGGGTTATTAAAGAAACTAACTTTGATTGCTATAAGCTTTGAGCTCAATTTTTATGGAAAATTAGTTGTATTAATTTTTAAATTAATTAATATGACATGGGTTTTAAATTTATGATCAATTGGGTCTGTTTTTCAGGGTTTTTTCTGTTGAAAAATGGCTGAACCATCCAAAGTTATCCATGTTCGTAATGTGGGTCATGAAATTTCTGAGGTATTGAATTTTACCCTTTTACAGTTTTCGATTTTATTGCTATTTTTTGATGCCCACAGTTTTTTTTATCTCTAAATTTTGATAAATATGATTTCTTTTTCAATTTTTCTATTTAATTTACTATCTTTTCTTGTTGGGATGGACTTAAACTTGCTTCTTATGGAACAATGGTATTGGACAATCCTTTTAATTCTTGAGTTGTTGTTATTTGTTTTCGTTTTCGTTTTCGAGGGAAGGTGAGTGATACCTCAATGCCATTATGCAAATTCTTGTATCAAATGATAAAGTGAATGTATAAAGTTATCCCTGAGCGATTCGCAATTGCTCACTTTCTTGTCCAATGTCATGGCCAAGATAATCATATTCTGAGAGTCTGAGAGACATTATCAAGTGAATGTATGAGGATTTGATTTGTCTTTTGTGTTTGGTACTGATAGACTAAGAATTAAAATGTGCGTAATTCTATTGTGCTTGCGAAATAGTGGATATAATTGGCTCTAGCAACTTCGTAGTTTTTTATGGAATGGTTAAATAGTTTATCTTTAGGTTCCAGTGGCTTTTCTTCATTCAATTGCATTTTGATTGGATGAAAGGCCATCTTTGTTGATCAATTTGTATTATAAGGAGGGAAAGTTGGGCACTTTTAGTTTAGCATAAACCAAGCTTTGGTTGCTTATTATTCATTTTTTAAATTGCACATGTTTATTCATTCAGTTTGCTTGTAACAATATTGGATTCACTGAAGGTGTAGGAGCAATATTTAAGTGTTGTAAGTGTGCCCTGATATTAATAGCCCCATTAACTGAAATTCGACTAAAGCAATCCTAAATAGACTATTTCAACCTACAATGAGGAATGACTGTTTTGGAGGGATTAGACATTTGACATTAGCGTAGTAAGAACCAGTTCAGTGAAAGAAGCGTGTGTGCAGTAGGCAGCACAAGCTGATCAACAATTATCTTAACTTAAGAGTCTTTGACGAATATTTTCTTCCTTGGTTGTTTGTTCTTAGTTTCCTGCCGTTACTTATTTTGTTGTATTTTATCTTGTTATGAAAATGTAAGGAAATCTCTAGTGATGTAAGCTAGCAGTTGATTATAACCCAAATCTTTGACGTTTGTAATTTGTGAGATCCTTTTTTTTTTTTTTTTTTTTTTTTTTTTTGGGGTGGGAATAGAGTTGCTAGTGATCTTTCCATCTATAGTTTGGACTTTGGAGTATAGCAGTGATCCTAGACATTTTTTAAATTTGTGCATTTTGTTTGCTTTATTTTACCTTATCTGCAACTTTTTCTTGTTCTTCCAGAATGATTTACTCCAGCTGTTCCAGCCATTTGGAGTTATCACAAAACTTGTAATGTTGCGAGCAAAGAATCAGGTTTGTTCATCGTGTATAATCTAGAGTAGGCAGTTGCTGCAGTTCCGAACTCCGACAAGTTCATTTTTGATTAATTGTCTTTTGGAAAAAAAAAATTCAGGCTCTTGTTCAAATGCAAGATGTTCCCTCTGCCGTCAATGTTTTGCAGTACTACACAAACACACAGCCAACTATAAGGTGTGTTGATGAAGTAACAAATTTTGTCAAAAGCTTTAATGCTTTATTGTCAACGACCGATCCAAAGATAAATTTATAAGTGATTCTTTTCTTGCCCCACTTATGGGATTAGGGCTTTGATTGATTGGACCCTTTTCTTGATAAGCTTTGGTCTATGAAATCATTGTCAAAAGAGAGTAGGACTTAGCTCATTTCCTTGTCATCATAGGCCTCAGAGCTTTATTTTGATTACTAAATGAAATTCCTCAATTAGTTCTGCCACATTTGATGTGGGTTTATGTTTACTTAATTCTTTTCTGTTCCCTATTATGTTTTTTCAAGCATATGACAATTCTGTAATTGAGGTGAATTGTGTTCTACTGAAAGAAGTAAAAGCTGCTATGCTGGATGGTATTCAGTTATCTTATGTTCCCTATGTTGTCTACTTTAATATGTTCTTTTTGGCTCGTTCATTGCTACCATATGTATTCACATTGCATTCTGAGTTCTTCAAGGGTTAAATTATTCTAGAATTGATAGATTGCTTGCTTCTGGCCTAGTCAATCTGGAAACATAACATTTGGCAAGCTGGTGCATGGATGCATAAATACCACAAAAACATGATCTTATTCGATATCTTTACATTAAACGTATACAGAGTAGCTTTTAGAACATAAGTTGATCTTCACTTCTTATTTGTTTGAAAATTACTATCTTATAGTGCCGGAGTGTTTTGCTTGTTTATCCAACCTCTACTGCTATACAATTCTAGTTATGATTTCATCGTAGGCTAGCATATGTTATCTTGAGGATTGTTAGAGTACTAATTGAAGAGGTTTTGCTTGACCCTTAGGAAGCATATGATTGAATTTTTGCAGAAATGGATTGAGGGATGAATTAGATGGCTTTTTGTCCTACGTAAGAGAATGATTTTTTTTATTATTTTTTTTTTCTTGCTTAGGGCCTGAGTTGGTTATCTTGCATTTGTGTCAACCAGTTTTACAAAGGCATTTTTGATATAATTAATTTGTCAAAATGGAAATCTTGTAGAGTTGTAGTTAATTTATCAAAATGAAAATAGGGCTGTGAGAAAATCATTCCTCTTAAGTATGTTGATGAGTGTGGGCAATTGTTATTAGCTGAACACATTACCTTGAGCATCTTCAACCCTTGGGGGTGGGGGTGGGGGGGGGGGGGCGGCGGCGTGGGCTTACAGCACAACGATGGGCCTGGCTACTCCCGCGAAACATTCAGGTGCTCCTTCTAACTCCATATTAAATATCGTCCTCCTAGTCCTAAGAATCTGCCCCGCTCAGCAAACTCCTACCTTGGCTCTCTTTCGATAGTCTACCGCATGTGTCTATTGACCCTACAATAATCTTGTGCTTTAGGATTCCTTTTCTTAATATTGGGAAAATGCTATTTCAGTCTTCATCTAGATAACCATGATGATAGCCTAGCCTGGTGGTTAAGGTGTGTAGAAAAGGATCTTGGCTCACTTCAACAGATAGTAGTGAAGAGGATGCATGGTCCATGAATGTTATTGGATTGAAGTTTGGGGAAGTATGTGCTGATGCAGTTTTCATGAAGTCATACACACTGGTGGCCAAGCTAGGCGTGAATTGTGGATAAAAGGGATGTTGGTCCGCTTTGATGGTTAGTAGGAGAGGGCTCATAGTTTTAGTACCCTTGGCATTAGTGGAAATTTATTTGGCTGTGGAAGAACTTTGAATGAGGCTTTAATCATAACACTTTTATTAATATGCAAACTTTGACTTTGGCTGTCTTTGTTTCTTGTTAGTCTGGCTTTGGCAGTCCTCCCAAATGCGAATCTCACAATTAGAGTTAAACTACTTGCACATCACTATGCCTCACACTTCACGCAGTCTGCACAAAGTTTATAAATTTTAAGATTAAAAATTAGAGGCCAAGCTCTAGGAGGATGATGCAGTTAGAACTGGAGCTAGGTTTAGAATGCCTAAGATATGTACATATGAAGATGTCACTTTTTCAGTGGTGCTTACCCCAATGATAGGCATAATGATGTCCTTTGATTTACAAGGGATTCAGGAGATCGTTGAAGCACTAATAATGCGTATTTTTGTATGGACTGTTAATAAGGAGTGACTGTTGGAGTTCATGTAGCAGAGGGAAAGTTGTAGCGAGATTACCTGTATGCAGATTTTCCTGTTTCAGTATGGATGTTTTGTTCAGAGAATTTCCTGGAAACTTGTGACGTCATTCTTTCTACCTAAGTAGAGCTTCAATAGGTAGGTGGTGTGAAAAGGATGCACTACTATAAATCATTGTATCAAATTTTGGCACACGGCTGTATCATCATGTATCGCTCTAATTGTAACAAAATATGGGCTAAAAGTACCACCGAAAATTAATACCAATGTGATATACTAACATGGGGTGTTGAAATCTTGAAGCTCTTGAAGTTACTGTTTGTCGGCCAATACTTATTTGGCTTTTCCAAATAGCAGCATAGAACTCCTTTACTGACTTAACTTACAGATTCACTTGCCCCCTAACTCGATAGGGAGAGAAACAGAAGGTTGTGGCCATATCCTCTATGAGACAGTGTGAGGTAGGGTAGTGTAGGCCAGGTTGGCTGTGAGACAGTGTGAGGTTGGGTAGTGTAGGTCAGGTTGTTGTTTATTTGATTGATTCTCAGATTTTACTATTGGTGGAGCTTGGTCTTTGGCCAAAGGATGGGGTTGGGTGGTTCATATGAGTTTCTTATTCCATTAGTAGCCAGTTGGGTAGTGTAGTTCTATATTGGGTTTAATTGATATTGTTTTAATATATATATGTATGAACTTTCTTTGTTTTTTAAGTTGCAATGTTTTGACTTTTGCACTATTCATTCATCTACTCTGATAATCTAGGTTAAGTATACTTACAATTATTTTAAACATATACAAACTTAAAAACTAAATTTGTTTGCGACCTGGTCTCTGATCACCATATTATTTTTACGACATTGCTACTGTTTTGTGATCGCGATTGAAACTGCATTTTAGAACCATGCTACCAATGTTAAATTGTCCTCATGATGACATTTCCCTTCATTACCCCTTCATGCGCACATGCTGATGTGTGATTTCCTTCTGACTATCTTGAATTATTGAGCATATTCTGTTCTTGTCTTGATATCTTGTTCATTTGAGCAAATAGATTTGGACAAATTTACGTTTTTTAAAAACTAATCATTTAAGAAGGGCTGATTGGTTGAATGTCTTCTTACTTCCTCTCAATATATGTCTTTTTTGAGGGATATTTAGCATGCTTGCACTTATTTCTTTTGTTTCTTGGTTTAATGTCAAAATTTCTGATTACTTAAAAATCATATCAACGAATCTATCGTCTCGTGGTGTAATTGATGAAAATCATGAAATGACCTGTTTGTACTTTGACTGCTCACTCACTATCTTTGGTCATTGATTCATGGAGGATTGGGATTCTTCATTCTGAAAGTCTTGTCCTTCCTTTTTCTCTTAAAATATCTTGTCAGAAGAAAGCATAGCATGTATCTGACATTTTTTTTTTGTGTTTTCTAGGATGAATGCTCCTTTCTATTGTGCATATAAATGGGCATAAAATGTTTATATGATGAAAAATAGTAGTTGGATGCAATAATATACTGCTACGCTTTTAAATAATATAGCCACAGTACGAACCTAGTTTATTTGTATGCTATGGCCTTTATCATTGACTTCATTTTATGTTTGCTATGCTTTTATTTTTTTTTGATAGGGGAAGAAATGTTTATATTCAATTCTCGTCACATCAAGAATTAACAACAATGGATCAGAACACTCATGGACGAGGAGATGAGGTTGGTATATGTACCATTTATAATTATAGGATTTGCCTATAAAGCCATTTATGTTCCCTAAAAAAAGAATAAAAAAAAAATCATGTTATGTAATTGGATGGTTTAAAAGAAATGGAAACAGCCTCATGAATTTCATTCACTATCACTTGATATACATGTGTATCTCTTCTCATATATGCTTTTGGGTGGACATAAATCATTTATGCTGAGTGTAGTTTGATTCAGATCTTATATGTGGGAGCATAAGAATCTGTATTGCATCTTTTACTGAGCTGCTGTACTAGCAAAGCCGTCTGCCGCGGTGATGTTTTCTAAATTATCGTGCATTCTGCCATTAATACAGTACAAGTAACAAATTATTTGATTCCATTTCCATGTATCATTCAATGCATTCATTTTGTTTTTATTCTTTACTCGGAATTTTTTTTTTAAAAAAAGGTTGTCCTAAAGGTAGTCAGAAAGTTGAAAACTTTGTCAGAGTTGCTTGTTCTGAAATATTCATAATGGTGTGGCCTTATTCTGTAGTTTGGATTACTGTCTCAGCCAAAGCATGAAAGAAATAATTTTGAGTTCATTTAATATGTTTTTGTAATGTATATGTATCACAATTGAAACTTGGATGTGGAGGTGTTACATGGAAATTAGGACTTAGTGGTTTTTTTATTTTTATTTTTATTATTAATTTTCTTTTATTGAGTAGATGCATTTAAGAGTATATATAGGGTCTTTTGTATGCAGAAATATGCCAATAATGTCCTAAAATATCTTCTTCAGGGGAAGTGTAATGAGTTTTACTGGTGAGTTCTGTGTCACATTTTGAAGTTGGAAAATTTTGCATCTTTCTCTGCTGGCTCGAGTAAGAGTAGGGAATTGTTGCGTCTGATGCTGCTCTTAGTTATAGTTAAGTTATTAAAGTTGAATAAGCTATTATAGCATATTCTATAAATAGCTAAACTTATTAACTGTGTCTGTCACGAGGCTAGCTTCGCAATAGGAGAGGAATTTAGAGTGCTTTATTGTCTTACTTGAGTAAATGCTTTTAAGATGAAATAAAAAGTTTCTAGTAATCAATGTAGGAACCTCAGGCCTATTTCCTGTCCAGTGTCCAATATGGTAAGACTGCTTCTAGTGGATTCTGATTTGATTAGTACGCCATCTTAGACTCTTAGAACATGTAAGGGGATTTAAACAGTTTATGCAGTAAATTAGCTGCAGAGCTGTTTTAAGTAGCATGATTTATGATGTTTGTTTTTTATTGGCCTTTTGCCTATGTGCTTTTAGTTTACTTCATGCTTTCTTTTTAACTTGTGGTGGTCGTATTAAATTATGTGATTTGATTTTTCTATTACATGTATTTTTTCTTTAAGTTCTCTCTTCATCTCTCTATATATTCTTCTCTATTTATTCTCCTCTCTCTCCCCCTTTTCTGTCTCTATGCTGGTCTGCTGTGGGGCATCTCTGGGAACTCAGCCTAACCGAATTCTGTTAGTTACAATCCATCAAGCGGTGTATCCAATAACTGTGGACGTTCTGCATCAAGTTTTTTCTCCTCATGGATTTGTGGAGAAGATTGTTACGTTTCAGAAGACAGCTGGTCAGCTTATTCAAGTTTTTCTGTCATTTCTGCTTTCTTTTCTTTTCTCTCCGATTCTATTTCTGTCTAGAATTTTTTCTTGATATAAAGTTTTAATGTCACATATGCATATGTTAACATGTGGTGTTTGTGATTGAATTTATTCGGTTTGCAAACAGATTTTCTGAAACATGTATCTGGTTTTTTTCTTCTGAAAAGTACATTATACTTCAAAGACCAGTTTCTTCTGAGTACTTTTGTTTTGTAGGTTTTCAAGCTCTTATCCAGTATCAATCACGCCATAGTGCGGTTACTGCACGAACTTCACTTCAGGTTTGAGTACAATCAAATATATTTTTTATTTGCTTCCGACAATTGCTTTGGCCTAATCTCATTTAAACCTCTTTAGGGGCGGAATATATATGATGGTTGCTGCCAACTAGATATTCAGTATTCAAAGTATGTCTGAACTCTCAATTACTGGCTTTGGTGACTTGCATTTTATTCTATGTGATCCATGTATTCATTTCGGTGATTATGTGCGATGTTCAATTATCTTTTAGCAGCTAGCCAACTGTGTAGCATGCAAACATCTATTTTGTTAATTCGTTTTATTATCTTGATGCAGTCTTGAAGAACTGCAAGTCAATTATAATAATGAGCGGACAAGGTATGCTACATACTGCAAGCTTCCATCAATTTGTTAAAGAATGCGAAAGGATTCTTATTGATGCGGCATTATTGAATCTATGCATCTATGCATAATTATTATTTTTTATGCAGGGATTTCACCAATCCTTCCTTGCCGGCAGAACCGAAAGGCAGATCTTCTCAGGTATGCCAGAATACGGCCTTGGAAATTGTTCACTTCTGCCAGCATAAAATTAACAGAGTTTTGTAACAGCCTGGCTATGCAGATGGTGGTGGTATGTACCCACTCCCAACAGGTGGAGCTCCGGGTAATCAGTTGTGTTTTAAATCTCCTAAATTTCTAGTATTTACATTCCACTATATAGTGTCTAATTGAATCTTTTTGTTTTCTTCCCTTCATTTTGGGTGTTTCAGTTGCATTTCCACAGGTACTTTTCTCTAAGTGAAGTGATGAATGTTCTTTTTGACTGGAGATGCTGATGCTTCCATTTGTTATGTTTTTCCCTTTTTTCTTTTCATGTTCTACAAATACGGTCCTTTTTCAGGCAAGTACTTAGACATCATTTTTTGCATTATACATTTTCACTAAGAGAATCAATGGGCATGGTTTTTTAGATGGCGAATCATGCAGCTATTGCAGCTGCTTTTGGTGGTGTTTTCCCTCCTGGAATCACAGGAATGAATGACAGGTGCACAATACTTGTATCTAGCCTAAATCCTGATGTAAGTCTACCCTCCTTTTCTCTTCCTTTGTCTCTTATGCCTCCATGTTGATACGTAATTAGAATGGACCTTGTTTCTATGTCCTGTGGTCATTTGTGCTTTTTGCTTGTGTTTCAGAGAATTGACGAGGACAAACTTTTCAATTTATTCTCTCTATATGGGAACATAGTGAGAATTAAACTTCTTCGTAATAAACCAGATCATGCCCTAGTACAGATGGGTGATGGCTTCCAAGCTGAATTGGCTGTTCATTTTCTGAAGGTGTGATCTTGGAATGTCTCTGACTATTGTCTCTTTTAGTTTCTTGGGATACTTAAATGCAAAGTACATAAATAATTCAACTCTGTTTTATTTCGGGAGTAAGTAAACATCTTTATTGTGTGGGAAGCTGATCTTCTTAGGAACAGCTTTTGTGTTCTTGTAAAGCACACCACTCTTGTTGTATCATGTCTCTTTTCTTATCTGCTGAATTGCCACCAAGTGAGTTATAGGAAGTTGTATATCATGTCTCATTCCTTTTAATTGGTGTTTATCGAGTTAAAGCTGAATTGCTGTTTATCATTTGAATTGCAGGGGATTACACTCTTTGGAAAGCGATTAGATGTCAACTTTTCCAGGTACCCTCAAATCACGTCAGGCACCGACACCCACGAATACCTCAACTCAAACCTTAACCGGTTCAACCGTAATGCGGCCAAAAATTACCGCTACTGCTGCTCTCCGACGAAAATGATTCACTTGTCCACCATCCCCCAGGATATTACTGAGGAAGAGATAGTGAGTCATTTGGAGGAGCATGGGACTATTATTAACACCAAAGTTTTTGAGACTAATGGCAAGAAGCAAGCCCTTGTTTTGTTTGAGAACGAGGAGCAGGCTACTGAAGCTCTTGTGTGCAAAAATGCAACCACCCTTGACGGCTGTGTCATTCGCATATCCTTCTCTCAGTCACAAGCCATATGATCAATTGGTGATCATTCGTTTACTATTAGAACCATAAACCATCCGTGCAACCTGACTACTGGTATGGTGTCGAGTGTGTTGGAATATTCTCATTTTTCTTTTCTATTTTGTTATTCACATACACTTGTTGCTCCTTCTGGGTTATGGCTCTTCACAAGTTGTGCTCATAAGGTTGCAGCCTTGAGCAATGTATCATTATTTCTTTATATTCGCTCACCATGTTTTTCTTGGCTGTATATTCGCGAGTCTGCTGCTCTTGTAGTTTTTTTTTTTTAACTCTTTTATCTATGTTGTATGTTAATGTATTACTATGTTCCTTATATTTGTAATACTAGATTGCTTTTATGAATAATTTTACCCTTTCATTGGTGCTTTGTATTTGACTTTTGAAGTTGATGTTTGCATATGCCATAATGTACTTGTGAACGAAGAAATGAATGTGAAGATGGTATAAACACTTTATTTAATCTCCATTCCTTTCTATTGATTCAAAATATCAATTGTTTTTAATCTTTTATAACATGAAGATAGTTTGTACGAATCTAAAGAAACTGATTAACAAAAAAAAAGCCGACTGTTAAAGGGAATATTTGATAACCGGTACCAAAGCAAATTCTTGCGGGCTCAGTTTAAAGAGGAAAATGCAATGCAAGGAACGCGTGAAATTTTAGAATCTGTTATGGGACATTCCAAAATTTCAGGCGAACCATGGTAGCAACGCTTGAAATATAGAATGTTCCACGGTAGATTCTAAAATTTCAGGCGTTATTCTGGCGATTACGAAATTAAAAAAAAAAAAGGACAAAAATTCAGAACACTCCCCGAATCTGTCCGCATAGGCAACCTCTTCGGTGGCATCGTCAGTTTTGCAAATTTGTCCATTCACCGCTTGTGTAAATCGTTGTTGAATAAAGGATTTTTTTTTTTTTTTTTTTTTTTTTTTTTTTTTTTTTTTTGACGTAGAGTGGTGGATGGTGGCTAGTAGGGTAAAAATAAAATAGGGTAAAGTTACAAGGGGTAAAAGTAGATTAGGGTAAAATTAAAAGGGGGATGTTTGTAATGTCGTGTTAGAATACGAGCGTTATCCAGTAAATACCGGATGCGATTTAGCAATTCACTTTTTTATTTTTTATTTTTTTTTATTTAGACTTTAAGAAGCGATAAAAATTAGGTTTAGAGTTTTCCAATCCTAAGTGAACACTACTTTGATTTTTTTTTTTTTTTTTTTTTTTAAAGTGAACACTATTTTAGTAATTTCTTTATTTAATAACTCCAATTTAGCAAATTGTTCCCTACTATTGTTGTCATTTTAGTAATTACCACCTACAATTCTCTCTCTCTCTCTCTCTCTTTTTTTTTTTTTTTTTTTTTTTTTTTTTTGTATTTTACCACCTACTCCCTTCGTACCCTTTTGTTTTTGACGTTTGGAATTATGCTTGATAATTAAGAAATTGTGTAAATTAGATGTATATTGGAATAATTCAATGATTGAAAGTATAATTTTACTTTGAAAAGAATATGGTACATGTGGGGTGAAGAAAGTAAGACGGAAAAAGAAGGGAGAGGAGAGAGAAAATAATAATGAGTATTAGAAAATCATTAAAATAGAACTAAAAGTACTAATGCACATGACAAAGTAAGGATATTTGATTATTTAAATTGTAAAGCAAGGGTAATTTTGTCTAAAATTTATGACTATAAAAGAAAAGATACTAAATGTAAAGAATAAAAAGGAACACCTAAAATGAAAACGTAAAGAACAAAATGGAACAGAGGGAGTACAATTTTTAAAAACATGAAAATTTTCCACCTGATTACCTACATGACGTCATTGTGGGCCCCACCAACAGTTTTGTTTTCAACTTCATTCCTTTTTCTAACCTTAATATTTGATTTTTATTGCAAATCTAAATTATTCAAACAAACCACTAAACTAGGTACCTAATTTGCAAAATTGGGGCTAACTATAAGATGGTGTTCATCATTTAGGGTTTTGAAATGAAAATAGGAGTTTGTTATTTAGTGATTAATTGATGAAATTGGGACTATTATGCATTGATTTAACGTATTATGTCTTTAATTAGTACTGAAATTGATATTATCGTTAAAAAATTATTACTAAATTTTAATATGAAAAATTAGGGTTTATATGTAATTTAGGGATATTTTAAAATCAAATGTTTTTCTAAATTATGAATTACAATCCTAAATTGAGCATATATATTAGTTCTATATAGAGTTAACCAATGTAAATAATGCTTATTTTGAAAAATTATTCTTTTGAAAAATTCCCCATATTTGGGATAAACCCTAAATGAAGAACAACAAATTATAATTGGCACATATTAGTAACTTAATTATGTTCGTGTGAGCTTGGATTATGTTAAATCGATAGCTAAATGCTTTTCCCTAATCTAATTTTAATTTATATTGAAAAAAAATCATTGACCATGAGAACCGCGGAAGAAAAAGGCATGACGACGTCATATATGACTATATGAGGGCTTGGAAAATTTGGTGGGAAATTTTCATGTTTTTAAAATTAGTAGGTGGTAAAATAAATTAAAAAAAAAAAAGAAAAAAAATTGTAGCTGGTTATTAAACAACCCCCTTACTAAAACGATAACAACTGTAGACGGTTATTAAAAAAAATAAAAATAAAAATAAAAATAAGAATTTGTAAACTAACCCCAGCATGATCATCCCTCAGTCATTATTCATAACAACCCTATGGACACAATTGCAACAAGAGTATCACTCTTCTCCCATCTCACTTCTTCACCTCTCTCTCTTCCCTCCAAATTTCCAAGAACCCTAGTTTCAATTCCAACCCCAATTCCAATTTCACTCACTAACACACTCAATCAAAGAAGAAACTACACATTTCCATCAATTTCAAAACTGGGTAGTTCCCAGAAAAATAACACTGAAATCTTCGATGAGGCGGCATTCGAAGCGAATCGCCTCACCCTTGATGCTAAAGCTCGAGAATCAATGGCGGAAGCCTCTGAAAAAGAAATGAATGAGAGTGAAGATGATGACCCAAAAGCTTGGAAATGGAAGATTAGAAAAAGGGTTTGGGATTTAATGGAAGCTCAGAACATTGCTCAATTTCCTCGACCTGTTCATCATCGTATTCCCAATTTTGTTGGTGCTCCACTTGCTGCTAACAAGGTATTCCATCAATTTTATACCCTTATTATATTGTTATCTTATGTTATTTGTGATGAATTTTTATGGGGTTTGAATGAATTTTTATGGGGTTTGAATGAATTTTTGGCAGTTGGGTGAATTGGATGTGTTTCTGGGGGCGAATTGTGTGAAGGTTAACCCGGATTCTCCACAGAAACAAGTCAGATTCTTGACGCTTTCTGGTTGGTGGTTGTTTTTAATTCACTGTTTTGTTTGTTGTTCGGTAGGTCTTGTATATAACGGGTGTATGTATGCAACATAGATAGTGAGTAGTATCTGAAATCACGTAAAAGTCTATTCTTTCTCAAAATGATTACTATGTGAATTGTGGATTGCGGGTGACTAAACTTGTTGTATATAAAGTACACCTGGTGTTACAAGCTTTTGTTGTTGTTGGTAGTTTGGGTTGCATTAGGTCCTCCTAATACTATGGTATTGAGCTGACTGTTGCATTAGCACATTCTCAGCCGTTTCTCATAATAAATTGCTGAGTAGTGAAGAATTTGAAGATCTGAGGGTATCAAAGACTTGCTGGGAATTGCTGTTTGAAATTTAGCTATGTTTTGTTGATAATTGCTTGACCTTCAAGGTTTCAGGCAATATATATTACGCAATCATACTAAGTATAATTTGATGGAGATTTTGCTTTGCGTCCACAATATAAAAAGTGTTTGAATGATTATATGCTGTGAATTCATAGGTTAATCTTTGCTTTTCAGATAGAGTTATAAAGGAGAGAGCCTCTGTGCAACTATAGTTATGGGGGTTACGTTTTGTATATCTGCCCCCACTTATTTTAATTTAGGGCTCTAGGCTTGTGAGCTGTTTAACCAAAAAGAGAAAGCTTAAAACTCTTATACTAAGTGGCGAATAGTTAAATTTTCTTAATAGAACGAATCTGTGAATATAAATACATTTCAGTGAGTTATTTTCTATAAAGTGGTTTGGAATATGAAGTTCTGAACCATATTGGAAGGCAAGTGCAGCTCTTAATAGTAATAGATGGACATCCCTGAATTTTGTCTTATTAAATAACTAGATTATTTCCCATGCGATGCACGGATATAATAAAAGAATTTATAATTGTGTAAATTTCAAACACATATCAGTTACAATATGTAAAATCTTTGTATTACATACGATATTATTTACATAAACCAAACTACAAAAATTAAAATACTGTAAACAAAAGAAAATTCACATCTAAAATAAATTTTAGCAAACTTTGTAATTAGATGGGATAATCAAATATACTTCGTATAAAAGGTTGATATTTGTTTTTCTTGAGATTTTTGAAAGGTTCCTAAAAGAAAAAAGTAATGAAAAATTGAAAACTAAAAAGTTTATTGTACTATATCAAAATACTTTACAATCAATAGATTTTTTTTAAACAAAAAATATGAAAGGAAAAAAAAAAGTTTAGGCGGGAAAAAAATGAAGGGGAAGCTGACACGTGTACAATTTGAAAAAAATGATGATGTCAGCGGTTGTTACTTCAGTAATATTTATAGATGTTTCAAATCTTGATAGAATTGACACTACAGAAATAATATGGAAATTCATGATGTTCAAAATTAAAATTTACATCTTGTTTTCATAGCAATCCATAAAGATTTTCACATGCTTGTATGGTTAAGGGGAAGTTTTTATTGTGTTTATGGATATCATTTCTGTTGAGCTGCTTAGTTTATAATTTGGTCTTCTACTATTTGCTTTTCATTCAATTTCTTGAGACTGTTGTGTTGATGCAGAGGGGAAGAAGCTTCTGACTCCCCAGCCACGTTTGAGAACCGGGTTCTTTTCTGTTCTTGAGTCTGAAATGTTGACTTCAAGCAATATAAATGAGGCATGCACCTCTGTAGGTGTAGCAAAATATGGAAGGCCAATTGGTCTTGATGAAAAGATCAAAGTAGACTTAATTGTCATTGGTTCAGTTGCTGTTGATCCGAACACTGGAGCCCGCCTTGGAAAGGGTGAGGTAGTTTTCCATTGCTATGATGTTTATTTTCTGTTTCCATCTAATGTATGCTATATTTGGAAATTTTTTCGTAGCTATTGGTTGCTTCTATTTATTATTTTCTTTTATAGTGATTAGAGGCCTTTTATGATCAATTCACCATTGCATGAGCGTAATCAGCGGCACATTAATTTCACTTACGGGGCGTTTGGTAGGAGGGATGGGATTAAGTGGGATAAGGACGTGGGATTTAGGATTGTAAAGTAGAGACAACCCTTCTAAGAAGGCTCCTTTCCACTAAAAATACCCAACCAAAATAGGCATCAGCTTTATAGAACCAGTACCAATTACAAAGAATATAACCTAAAATGCAAAGCAAGCTATAGAACTGTAGTCACAATAATTATAGGTCATCCAGCCAAATCCTATCAGCACTCAGCAGATGAATTATTTTCCCCCATGATCCCTTTCATTCTACTTCTTATAGTACACTGAATTTCCATTATTGCCGAGGCCACAGTAGGTATTTTTCCTTTCCAAAGAGCTTCATTACTTGTTATCCACACTTAATGTACAATTCCTGCCACTGCTGCTGCTTCTACATTCATTCTGAACCTAGATATTTTAGCTATCCTGCCAATCCACCTTGTAGCAGATACAATTATATGCAGGCCAGTTTTTAGCTCTCCTTCCAGTTTATCTGATTTCTTTATATTTCTGTGCTAGTTTTATCCATCCAGGCCTTATTCTATAGTTATACTGCACGTGTAAAACATTATACCTTTTCTTATTTTTTAGGAAAAATTGTCCGGAATAATCCCACCTTTGCCTCATCCGCCCAAAATAATCCCACCTATCGATTATTTTTTAATAACCCGACCTTTATACCTCTCCCGCTCCCAATGGTCCCAAGTGACTTGAAACCGGCTAAACAAGTTACCATTTATAATTTGGAATTGTTTGGACATGTGTCACCACATAGTTGGTTAAAAAATTAATAAAAAAATTATTGAAAAATAAAAAATAAAAAATAAAAAAAAAAACCCACAACCACCGTCTCCAGCAGTCCCACCACCGAAACCACCTCGCCTAACCTAGCTCACCCACCAAAACCAGCTCCTCTACCCACTTTTAGCCCACCGAAACCACTTGTTTAGCCGGAATTGGGTAGGTTGTTGTGGGTTTGTGCGTGGTGGATTTGCAACGGTGTGAGGGAGAGGGAGGGGGTGGTCGGAATCGGGGAGGGAGGGGGTGGTCGGAATCGGGGAGGGAGTGGGGAGGGCTGGTCGGAAACGGAATCGGGGAGGGAGAGGGGGAGGGAGACGGAATCGGGGAGGGAGAGGGGAGGGCTGGTCGGAAACGGGGAGGGAGAGGGAGGGGGTGGTCGGAATCGGGGAGGGAGAGGGATGGGGTGGTCGGAATCGGGGAGGGAGAGGGGAGGGGTGGTCGGAATCGGGGTGGGAAAGGGAGGGGGTGGACGGAATCGGGGAGGGAGAGGGGAGGGCTGGTCGGAAACGGGGAGGGAGAGGGAGGGGGTGGACGGAATCGGGGAGGGGAAGGGAGATGGTGGCCGGAATTGGGTAGGGGAGGTGGGGCTGCCGGAATCTGGTTTCAGTTTTTTTTTTTTTTTTTTTTTTTTTTAACAAAAATTCTGGTTTTTTTTTTTAATTTTATTTTTTGACCAATCATAGACTGACACGTGTCTAGTAACTTGTAATAACAAGTTATGTGACCGGTTAGGACCATTTAAAGCGGAAGAGGTATAAAGGTGGGATTATTTAAAAATAATCCAAAGGTCGGATTATTATTAGCGGACGGCCCAAAGGTGGGATTATTGCGGGCAATTTTTCCTATTTTTTATTTTTAATTTTTGTAAAATACCTTTAGATATATGAAGTACTATTTGAATATTGCATGTGTAATTACTCTTCATGGCTTCACACTATTTAATTACCTAAGATGTAGTAAAAAGCATAAAAACTTGAGAAAATCCCAATAACATTTTACATGATACTACTTATCATTTTTTTTATAGTAAAAACAATTGGTCAAAGGCTAGGTAAATATGGTAGATCAAAAAAAGAAAAAAACTAGAGGATGAGTAAAATCCCAATAACATTTTACATGATATCATTTGAATCAAAACTTTATAGTAATTCATTCTGAAGCCTTTGTAAAATCCATCTTTTTTGTTCCTCCAAATTTATTTTCCCATTAATTCTCATCATCTTTCAATTTTTTTTTTTTCTGTCTTTGCTTCATAAAATTTTACTTGATATATAATGCCTTTCATTTGCTTCTAGCAGAAAAAAAAAAAAGATAATTGTACATTTTGGTTATCATAAAGCGGCAGTTACACTTCCAGCAGCACATTACTCTGAGCCCTTTTAAATTTATGCGTTTGATTGATCTAAAACAAGATGTACCTGCCATGAAAAGAGTGGCATATATTAATGCCATCCATATTTCTACTGGTCTGATCTTTTTTTTTTTACATGGACTATGGAAAACAGGAAAAGCCTGTCTTGCTTTTATTTCATATCTTTGCAAGGTCTTTTGATGATTCAATGTTTGTGAAGGCTAGCTTTTAATGTCCAAAGTTTTACTGTAAATTCGTTGATAGGGATTTGCTGAACTTGAATATGGAATGCTGCGTTACATGAGGGCGATTGATGACTCCACCCCTGTCATTACTACAGGTATTTCTGATGTTCTTTGGTACAAATGCCCCATTTTGATTGTATAGTTTTTCTACGGGGACTGATAATGTCTTGACATTTTAGATTTTTTAACCTCACTCATTTTGACAAGTGCGGAGTAATTTGTCAAGATATGTATTGGGTTAATGACATGAAAATATCATCATTAGATTTACCTTTAGATACCTTTTATCATTAATATAGCTAATAGTGACAAATCAGTGCATGATAGAGCGGCATGATCAAAGTTGGCAGTTTTACCACAAACTTCTAATTTTGCCTATTAGAATACTTTATTTGACAGATCTTTACATTGCAGTTGTAGCTGATGATTCCTTGTTGAAGTTTCCTTTTAAATTTGGCTTTTATATACTTCCTTAGTTTTCAATATAGTTTGTTTCTTTAATTTTGACTCAATCTAGCATGTATGGGACCTTCAGATCTGTTGTTGAGTCGTATATGATGATATGCCGAAGATTATAAGTGCCACTTCATGTAAATTTCTCTCTTTCACCAGTAATATGGGAATTGAATGTGTAATTTCATTTCAGTAATTCAGTAATTATTAAAGTGCTGTTATTGTTTAGCTAAAGTAGTTAATAATATTGCAGTGCATGATCAACAACTGGTAGATGATATTCCGGCTGAAAAGCTATTAATCCATGATGTACCAGTCGACATCATTTGCACCCCAACACAGGTCATATTCACCAATACGAATATACCTAAACCACAAGGTTAGCGATGAACCAGTTTTTCTTCCTAAAACCTTGCATTACTTCCAGTTGATTATACCTAAACCACAAGGTCATTGAATTTTCTGCAGGGATTTACTGGGAGAAACTGTCTCCTGAGAAATTGGGTCAAATACGAGTTTTGCGAGAGCTCAAGAAGAGGATCGAGCAAGAAACTGGGCAAAAGCTTCCGAGTGGTCCATCCGAGAAGCTACCCCCCACTGCACAGCGAAAGCACACTGCACAGCGAAAGCGCCAATGATTTTCTTTCTTTTTCTAGCCCTTTGTATATTTGTGTTACATATGTAATTACTGTGAACCCTTGCACAAGCGCTTATGGTTCCAACAAGACCATAAATTATAAATATATTATGGCTTGTTTGGAAACCATCATTTCATTTCAAATGATGGATTTGTCCCAAATAACCTGTTTGGGAATTATGAGAATTTGCATTTGGATTTGACTGAAATTCTAGCCTTCAATAATCAAGTTCAGTTTATAGAATTTGAAATTGAGTTTAACAAAAGGAGAAACCAAAAGACATGCAGATCTAGGGACCTATTTTTTCCATAATTTTGGTCGATAATTTGGGGATTTAGGATGAATAGTAGAGAAGGAAAGAGAATGGGAAGGGGAAATGTAAGGAAGAGAGAGAAAATAGAGAAATGTAAGGGAAGAGGTAATTAAGTAGAGATGGTCATACTAAGTCAACTTGAAATGATTTACTCGAAATTTCAAGTTTCCCAAACAGATAATTTGGCATTAAATGTAAGTAATTGAAATTACAGATTTCAAATTCCAGATTTGAAATTAAATACTTGAATCCAAACACTACCTAAACGTAACGTAATTCATGTCATATTGGATGATATGATTACTTGTTAATTTTTTTAAGGGTATTTTTTTCCTTAAAAAAAAGTTGTAACAAGTTATTTTGATTAGAGGTGTCAAAATCACACCTGACCTGACACGAAAAATATCCGATTCAGATTTCAACTCGCGTAGTCGCGTGGACACAATAATTTGATATGACGCAATTTTAAAAATTGATCCAACCTAACCCGACCTGATCTTATTTGACTTGATCTGAACATCCGGATTGACACCTAATTTGTTGACATTATTATATATATATATATATATATATATATATATATATATATATATATATATATATATATATATATATATAATGAGAACCAAGGCTAAAATAAGAACTAGGAACTAATCTAGGCCCTTAGATCATGTTAATCCGATGGCTCACATGCTTCCCGTGTCATTAATGGCATTTTTGTAATATTTGAATGTTATAAACTGATTCCCAATTTCATTTCCAAAAAGTAAATGAAAATTTAGTAAAAGTAAATGAAATCGGTCATAAAGTAAATGAAATTGCCTTAAAAGTTTATAAACTGGAAAAAAGTTGCAAAAAACGCATAATTACGAAATATATATATATATATATATATATATATATATATATATATATATATATATATATAGGACAAAATACTTGAAAATATATAGCTTGAACAATTGAAAATTGTGAGTACATAGCATCTTTGCCCATGAAAAAATATTAAGGGGGTGTTTGGTTCGTAGGTTTTAGGTATATATGAGGTATGGGGTTGGAATGAGTAAAACTCAATGCTTGTTTAAGAAACTATTTTTAAACTCATACTTGAAACTCACAAGGTATGGGGTTTGGTTTAGAAAAACCAAGGGGGAGGTGGGTATGGCAAATAGCCAAATACCACACCTTTAGATTATCGAATAAAAATTAAAAAACTCATTCCTGAACAAGAACCAAACATGATATATTAAGAATCAAGTTTCTACCCCCATACCATCTTAATTTAATTCCTTATAAATCCATACCACTTTAAAAGTTACAAAAACACGCACAAAAGTTCATTGAACAATCTCAATTTCTCAGTCCACTTTTTATTAAAGAATATTTTGTCATTTCACTTAACCTATTTAAAGAAAAGGGTTTAGGTGTTTGGATTAATATCAAGTGTCAATATTTTTCAAGTTAGTTTGGATTCAAGTTTGATTTGATCAAGTACGGTTAATTTTTGGTCCCAACAAGGCAACAAGTTAGATGCTAATTAAGCAAAGCAAATAATTAGTTTTGAACAATTTACAATTTAGTGTATACATGAACCATTTTATAGGTACAACGTAGTATATTCTAAAATACGTTGACACATAAATTCACACTTAAAAATTATTATACAATTTTTATTTTTAATTTTTTACATGATAATTTTTACACTTAAAAACTATTTACATGAAAATCTTTATTTTTTTAGAAACAGTGATGCAAATAAAGACTAGTTATTTTATTTTAAATTTAAAATATTATTTTCTAATATACTTCTCATTCGAAATAATATCTGAATAATGCAATTGGTCTGCGCTCTTTACTACCAATAATAATATTATGAGAGAATAAAACAAAAGCTGGAATAGCTCAGCTGGTTAGAGCGTGTGGCTGTTAACCACAAGGTCGGAGGTTCGAACCCTCCTTCTAGCGCTTTTTTTATAAGAATATATATTATGTAGAGGAAAACAATGGATTTTATAAAAATAAAACAAAGCAGTTAATTTTGGTGAAACAAGAATGATCAACGAACACAAATTTCAAACATAAGATTTTGTTGTCACAAGTTCACAACACAAATTAAAATAAAAACATAAAGCCATATTGTCAAAAGGTCACAACATAAATTACAAGAAAACTACTCTCAGGAGGAGAGTCATATTTCCAACTAGTCCAAATTAAAGAAGGATCCCTAGTTGCCTTCTCAATTTCTCATGCCATCTTTAATCTTCATACATTTTCCTTTTGCCTTTATGCTTGCTGCCTTTTCCTTTGTCATCCATGTCCTTGTTGACGAGATTCTGATATGCTTCATACATAAATGCCTCCACGCTTTCATTAAGAGTGATCTCTGTCGTATCTGGGCTCTCTATCTTCTTTCTTCTCTTACGACGGTGTTTGTTTTCAAGATCACTTATCTTTCCTCCACTTGAGAACAATATTTCTTCATTCACCCTAAAGCCTCGCGACTATTTTTTTTGTTTTTAAAAAAGAAATTAATAATTAATATATCTCATAAGATTACTTGGTTCCCAAAAAAAAAAAAAAAAAAAAAAAAAACAAAAAAAAAACAAAAAAAATTGACTATAAATTTTAATCTCATATTTACATCATTGTACGTTCAATTTATTGATGTTATGTAATTTGCAACACCGATATTATACAAAAAAGACAACTTACACTTTTTGAATCTTGGTTGGAACCGGGTTCAAGAAAATGGATATCATAAAGAACAAATTCACCATTATAGCTTTTTCCTTTAAACCTAAATTCCCAATCCAACTTCCTTCTAATTGACCGTTTTCCACTTGAAGTGCCCGGTTCTACAGACTGTATAAGTAAGAAAATACAAAAATTGTGAATAATACAATTCATAAGATAAAACTACATACAAATTTAAGGATCTGTTTGACATTGTTGTGGTTTTCTGTTTTTCAAAATCATATGATATACATCATACAACGAGTTAAAAATTAGTCTAACTTATTATAATCATGATTATTTTGAAAATGACAACAACAAAGTGGAAACATTAAACGGTTTTCTGTTTTTGGTGATTTGTTTTCATAAAAAATGAAAACTATATACAAAAAATGATGTCAAATTACTTCCTTCAATGTTTTTTTGATGCCACTTTTGTAATTGCAGACTCTTTAGTAATAGAAATTAAGAGGGTCATGTGATAGATAAATGAGAGAAAAAAAAATTAAGAGACTAGGGTCCTGTGATAGGAGAGTAATAGAGAAAATTTATTTGAAAAACGGAAAAGTGATCGATACATCTAAAATAATATACTTCCGTTTCTAAAAAGTGACACAACTGATGAAAAACGGAGAAAGTAAATTTTTTTTTTTTTTTTTGACATTGAGGAAATACGTAATAAAAATAATCATATTAAGATAAACTTACATTATCAATTGGGTTTGCACCTTTCTGTGGCCTCTTCGGGTGGTAGCCATGGTGAACGAAGTCATCGACTTCATTAAGAGACCTAAGTTGTAAGTTGGACAATAGATGTATATAAAACTACAAAAGAAGATACAACTAATTAGTCATATAAACTAGCTAGGGTATAATATATAGATATCTTTATAACAAAGTATAAAATTTTTTCCATACCTTATCAATTCTTTTGTTGTCGTTTCGAACGGCCATTGTTATCATCCAATCTTGCAAGCATTCATCAAGTGAAAACCTTGACATTCTTCTCTGCTTAATGTCAAAAACCATCAATGTACAAAAAAAAAAAAAAAAAAAAACCAAGAAGAAATAATAAAAATAAGACATAATAATAAGCACTCTTAATAGCATTAAACATCAATGCACATAGTGTATCACTTGAAATATTAAACAATTTGCAAAGAGAAAAAAAAAAGGTGAATGGTTGTTAAAGAAATAACACACACGCACTTGTATCTTACAATAACTTGATTCGTTTTTTAATACTTGCCGTAAAATACTAAATCAAGTGTAATTCTACATGAATTTAATCTAAATAAAAAATATTTTTTTTAAAAAAAAAAAAGTCCTATTAGTAATTTTTTTTACTCCATACAGTAGTACATTTTCGCCCTATCTAATATCAAAAGAAGAGAAGTAGATTGTGAGATATGGTGTGGAAATATTTTTTCTTAAGTGATGAAGATCGATATTTGGATCAAATACTATCTAAAGATATTTAACTAAACAATTGTAATTGAATTTTATTATACAAAATTATTGAATTTTATTATACAAAATTAAGTTTAATGATTCAAATAGTGATATAGATGTATGAAGATTTCCCCTTTCCAAATTACTAGTTTTATTACCACTGTACATTATTACATCCTACATGCTTACATAGAAACATAAGTTTGTACGGGATGATTTACTTTAATTTGGTGGAAGTAGGGAAATATATAATAGCAAATAAACAATTATATATCTATTATATAAAAACAAATGAACCATAACACATGATTAGGGGATTTTGCTCCCACCAATCGGAATGCGCCACGTGGGCCAATCAGGTCCTGCCAAGTGTCCCCCAATTGGACCTCTCAGGGCTTGCCACGTGGCACACGCTTATTCGTTCACCCTGGACTTATTATGTCATGACACGTGGCATACTCCATGCCTAATGGAGAAGCCGGCCACCTAGGCCCAGCTTCCGAGGGAAGCCCAATCAGCCCAAGGTTAACCTAAACCTAGATTGGCACGTTTCCCGAGGTTATAAATACCTCCCTTAATCCTCATTAAGAGAGACGACGCAGATTACACACATTAAACACTCTCACCTAGAGAGACCCAATCACTTTAATTTCCACATTAATTACTCCTTAATCAAGTACTAACTTGACCGTCGGAGGCGGATCTCCAATCATCCGGAGCATCCGTTTGTTTTGCAGGTAC